GGCTCCCAAGCCTGAGCGTCCTGTCCCTCTTGTCTGCGGACTGCAGAGGCCTGAGGGGGGCCAGGTCTTGCAGCATGCCATCGGGATCCCCGGCTGGGAGATGAGGACAGGCAAAAGGCAGTTTGGAAGCTGAGTTCTTGCCTTGATGTCACTCAAAAGTGGAGGTGGCTGTAGCTGCGAACGAAGCTGAGACAAATGCACAAACTCCATCTCACTGGTCATCCCGGGCAACTCTTGGCCCCCTCAGGCCCTGGGACAGAAGCCGCTGCTTAACAAGGTCCCCGGCGCAGCAGGGAAGAGTTTAGGTGATGAACGCCACACCGGTGAGAATAAAGTGGGCGTTTCCACGAGCAGCCTGTGTTTCGAGGGCTTCAGATGTATTAACACGTGTAAATAAAGAGGAAAGTAAAATAGAGACAAGAGGAGACAGGGACATGGGGCTTCTGCAAAAGGGAAGGAGATCAAGAGAGAAGGAAAGGGAAAGGGATGAAAAGAATTGAGATGTGTTGTGGACACAAACCAACTCCCCACGGGAAATGTGACCACTGTGCACACACACGTGGGCTGGCAAAACAAAACTTAAACTAAAAATATGTTAACACATCAGAGCCCCCAGAAGTGGGTTCTAAGATTACCTCCCATTTAAGGGATAAGGAAAGGGAGGCTCAGAGCGGTTAAGTAACTTGCTCGCGGTCACACAGCTAATGAGCATCAGAGCCAGGTATTAACCCAGGTGCTCGGGCTCCAGGATAAAAAGTATCCAAAACATGTGTATCAAAATGCTACAGTGTATCCCATCAATAGATACAACTGTTACGCATCAATTAAATCCAGGGACATAATTAATGTTCTACGAAGGTAAAACAAATAGCCTTTTCTTTCTAGGTAGCAATTCAGCGCGCACACCTGTGGCCTGAGCACTCTGGGAGGCTGAGGCAGGAGGACTGCAAGTTCCAGCCCAGCCTGGGCAACTCAGCAGTGTGCTAAGACCCTGTCTCAAGATTTTTTTCCCCAAAGTTTAAAAATGGATAAGGTCTGGGGATGTCGCTCAGCGAGAAGCTCTGGGTTCCATCCTCAGTACTGAAGAAACAGACTGAATGTTCTGTCTGGGGGATGAGGTGCTTCTCCCTCCCGAGGCTGCGGTGAGGACTGGGCTGAGCTCTGTGCAGAGCTTCGCATGTCTGGGCTGTACGTTCCCCTCTGCTGCTCGCACCCCGGGCTCACCTCCTCCCTGCCCAGCCCCTCCTGAGCTCTGCAGGGGGCAGGAGTTGCACCCTCCTTCGAGGGGGGTCCCCTGCCCTCCAACTTCTGCCCCCCTTCCACACTCTGTTTCCTGGGCCAATGGCTCTCTCTGTTCCCTGAACTTCTGGACTTGCTAAAAATGCACGTGACCTTGGGCATCTGACTTCACCTGCTAGACTCAGTCTCCTGTCTGGGTTTTGAGACAGGGTCTCACTGTGTAGTTTAGGCTGGACTTGCACTCACTATGTGGCCCTGAACTTGCTGCAATCCTCCTGCCTCAGCCTCCCCAGTGCTGGGATCACAGTCATGCACCACCACTCCCAGCGTTAGTTTCCCATCTGGGAGAAGGGAGGAGGCAGGGCTGGCCGCTGCCCGAGGGCTGTGAGAACAGACTGGGGTCACACACTGTGCAGAGCAGAGCTTGGGGGCAGCAGGCGTCAGCAGCAAAGCGGAAGTCAGCCTGGATCGGGGGTGGAGCACGCAGCGCACAGGCCGCCTGCTCAGTTCCGCGTGTTTAACTGAGTGTTCATGACCATGACATGCCTCGTACTGTGCCAGGTCCTGCCACTCGGCGCTGTCTCGGGTGGTAGGCTTGGGGTCCCATGTCTACGCCCAGTCCAGGAGGCTGGAATAGCCCTGGGGGTGGGTCGGGCACTGCTCTGGGTGTGGCCAGGAGCCTGACTGGCTCATACCGCACTGAAGCTGCCTCCACAGGAGACTCGCAGGTCTGTCCTAGGCCAGTTGCCCCGAAGGACTCACCAGAGGCTGCTTTTAGAGGGGGTCCCTGGCTGCAGTCCCCTGGCCACTGGAGCTGCCTTCTGTGATTCTCATGGGTCCCTGGGGGAACCACAGGAGGCCGGGGGAGGCTGTGCTGCCCCTGCCCAGTGTCCCCAGGGAGTTCTGGGGACCCCATCAGCAGGGCCCATGCGAGGACTCAGCCTCACCTGCCCTCGACACAGAGCGACAGGACAGGGTGGTCGGGAGCCGGAGTCCATCTGGAAGCCACCCTCGGGTGCTGTTAACCTGTCCTTCACGTGCCGCTCGGGCTTTCTCCTCTGGCGTGGATTCTCCCGAGCTTCGGACTGCTTCACACCAGCGGTTCTGACAGCTTCCGACAGGTGACTGGGCGGCGCCACATCGTGGTGATAGCAGCTCTGGAGCTCACCCTGCCCAGGCCAGTCGGGGCCCCACTGCAGGGCGAATTCTGCTCGTCCTCAGGGTGGGGGGCACGGGGCTTCCCCTCGCTCTCATTCCCAGCGAAGCGCCCAGAGCTCCTCCCAGGTGCCACCTGCTCCCGACAGGGGCCACATTGGGCAATAAATTACTGCAATCCCACACGGCCAGGGACGCTGGGAACCTCTGATGCTTTCAGTAGGGATGGTGACGTCTGGAGGGGAGCCGTGCTGCAGGCTGTCCCACCAGCGACAGGAAGGTCCGGGTACTGTTTGGGAAACAGCTTCATTGTAAATCTTACATAGCTTATCTGAGTAATTGTTGTGGTTGCTGTTTTTGGACGTGTCTCACTATGTAGTTTGGGCTGGCCTTGAACTCACGATGTAGCACAGGCTGTCTTCAAATTTGCAATGATCCTCCTGCCTCAGCCTCCCGAGTGCTGGGATTACAGGTGTGCAACACCACGCCCTGCTCTGAGTATTTTTTTAAGATAAAAATGTTTGTAGTGCCAGATGGGTTTTTTGAAGCTCAGGAAATAGTAGCCAAAGCTGTGGAAACACCCGGACTACAGCAATGTCACCCACAATGCACAGCAACTAGAAAGTGACATCACGTGTGACAGTTAAGAGGGCGCCTGAGGGTCCCGTCCGAACACTGAGCCAGAACAGCTCTCCCGAGGTGAGATGGCCTGAGGCCCAGGGCAGCTCCACTCCCGTCACCGCTCGCCGGGCTCTGCTGGGGACCACACACAGGTCTCAGACCTCACCAGCCCTGTGTGGAGGCCAAGGCTTGTGGGCCAGGGAAGCGGCTCAGCGGGGCGGACACCAAGCCGGCGGTGTCGAGGCGGGGCAGACTCCAGAGTGAGGCTCCGCTCCCTGCTCTCCCACGCGGCCGTGTCGGGCTTGGCACGGCCAGGTGTGGAGACACACGGCCGAGGACGCCTTCCTCACAAGTCCTCATGCCTGCATCCGAGGCGGATGCACCCAAGTCTGTTCCCCCTCCTGGGGAAGAGCTGGCTGCAGGCTCTGCAGCACCGAGGACGCGTGCTAGGAGGCAGAGAGCCGGCCGGGCCGCTGCCCATGCTGGTGTCTGCCCTGCTCGTGCGGGTCCACGCTGGCTGCGCTCTGTGCCTCAGATGACAAACGAAGGTTCAGCTCTCCCCAAAGCCCAGCGCCTTACAGGGAGGCCTCGCACTTCCAGCCGCCCCAGCCTGGCTCTGAGTCTGGAAACAGATTCAGGAAGGGAAGGGACCCGAGAACGCAAGCCTGCCGGGAGCGGGAGCCGGGGCTGGTGGCAGGGGGCTCCTCACACGCACAGCCGCAGCCAGGGGTCGGGCAGCGAGCAGGCGGGGACGGAGGTGACAGCTGGGGCTGGATGTGCAGTGTCCTGGGCACTGAGGAGGCTGCGGCCCGGGTGGTGCCGCTCTTAGGGGCTGGGAGGGAGAGGAGCTGGGGGAAGCTTGGGGAAGGGGCGGCTTATTTTGGGGGCCTGAGAGCCCACCGGGAGCAGTAGGTCCGACCGGGCAGCAGCGCCAGCCCACGAGCTCCTGCGTCATGGCGCCACGGGGCCCATGGCCACGCGCACAGTGGCTGCACAAGTTCCAGTTGCTGTACTTGGGAGGAGAGAACAGGAGTTGTAAGGACACCACCAGCCCGAGTGCGAGACGGGACAGGAGCGAGAGCAGCACTGGAGGGGGCTCAGGGGTGCCCCATGTCCCCCCAATGGCGGAGACAGCTCATCGGAGGCGGGGAGCCCCAAGGGAGGCGGGCGAGCCAGAGGCCGAGGGCCAAGGCTGCCCCAACTCCACGGCCACGGAGAACCGAATAGCGCCGTCCGTGACTATGTTTGGCAGGGACCGCAGGCATGTGTCACCTCTGCACGTGCGGTATGTCCTGCCTGTGTGCGTGCTTCCAGGTCAGCCAGGACTCTGGGGGACCGCAGCCCACACAGTGATACACTGATGCACACACTGATGCACACACTGATGCACTGATGCACACGCTGACACACTGAGGCTAACTTGGGTCCTTAGAAACAGGAAGCAACCCCCCTGGCCTGTGTGCCCTCCACCGCCCTGCGCTTAGAGCCCAGAGCTGCGACCATGCGAGGAGCCCAGCAAGGTCAGACCCAGCCCAGCAGAAGCATCGCGGCTCTCAGGCTTCAGGACCATGCAACCCAGGGAAAGGCCACCCAGCTCTGTGCTGCAGATTTGAGGCCAATGCTGACCGGGATGGGCGCTTGTACGGGCACTGCTCCATTAACTACTTTCTAGCACCTGAGGAAGAGTTTACTCTGCATCCCTGTTGTGCAGATGGGGAAACTGAAGCACGGGCGGGTCAAGGCACTTTCACAGACAGAGACAAGTCCTGCTGGAGGAGGCGGTGTCCCCAGGCTGCTGTAATCACAGGGAAGCCACACGGTGCCGAGGCCCGGCCCTGGGCTTGCGGGCCCAGGAATCAGTTCCAGACCCGGGTGGGCTTTGTGGACCCACGGATCCTGACACCCCTGGCACCTCCCGGGGGACGCACAGTTCTCCTTGTAAGACCCACCCGGCCCCAGGCAGAGGCTGTGGCCCCGCCCCTTACCTCTCCACCTGCAGGCTGACCTTGGACGGCTCCACATTGGGGTTCTCCCACTCCATCTGCGGGCAGTGCATGAAGTAGCAGAGCGTGTACAGCGCCTCGGGCTCCCAGTAGAGGGCGCCCTGCCGCTGGTGCAGGGGCGTGCCGTTGCCGTGGTGCTTGGCGTGCAGCGGCTGCAGGTGGTGCATGGCGCGCGACACCAGGTCACCTGAGGACAGAAGGGAGACCGCGGCAGATGAGCGGGACGCCGGCCGGGAGTCCCCTGGGGGCGTGGTCCTCCTGCACGCGGGCACTTGGCCTGACCTTCTAGGCCGCGGGGCCCGTGCCATCCCGCTCTCTGGAGCCCTGTCGTCCTGCCGGTGTCACCGCTCTGCCACCCCAGTGTGGCCGGCCCTGCTCCCCGCTGCTCTGCCCTGAAGGCCCTCCTCCTCTTCCTGGTCCCCACGCAGAGCTCACGGGGACTTTCCTCAACTAGGCTCGCAGGGCGCCGCCTCAGAACGGCCTCTCCCCGCTGCTCCCCGACACCAGCGGCTCAGGTTAGCATGAGGCGCACTTCAGGGGGGACCTGGACGATGCGGCAGACAGGAAGCAGTGGCTCAGTGACTTCTGAAAGTCATGGGCAGGAGCAGCAGGATCAGGATGTGTGCTCAGAGCTGGCTGCAGACCCACGCTCGGGCTCAGCATGCTCAGGGGGCCAGGGCTCCTCTCACCAATCTGAACACCGGCAGACTAGAGGTTCAGGTCGGCTAGGCCATGTCTGATGTCCCCCAAGCCTCAGGGAGTCGGGGGCGCTGTTCAGAGCTGGCTGGGTCAGGAGTGCGTGATGCTGGGATCGAGGCTGTGTGATTACTAAGCCCGTCCACTGAACGGGCCGGCACCGTTCTGGGTAGGATCAACGGTGCCCAGCTGGGTGTGAGTGACATTTACCTGAGGGTGGGTGGCCTGGTTAAGATACAAGGGACAGGGGGTCTCTGGTCGCTCGCCCCTGTTGGTTGCTGCCTTCTGCCTGCCATGCACTGTTTCTCCTCTGCGATGCCTCTCTGCCACCTCAACCTGTCTTGGCGCAGGCCGACTATGCACGGAAGCCTCTACCAGCTGTGGGCCGGAACAAAGCTTTCCTTCTGTAACCTCGAGTGTTGGGAATTTTGTCTCAGCAATGAGAAAAGTAGCTAAGACGCGGTCTTTCTCCTGCTTCTCCTTGATCAAGCCAAACCTGGACGCTCCCCAGCTGGCTCCACGGAGGATCATCCCGTGGGCAGCCTGGCCGTTCCACAGCACCTCTGCGAATGCAGTCACGCACAGCACTGCCTTTATTGCTGCTTGGCTTTCAGTGGGCTCGTTTTGTGTTATTTAAATGCTTCTATCTTCAGAGGGAAACTATACCTCTTCATAAACGGAGGAGGAGTGCACTTGCTGCACAGAGTCATGTTACAGTGAGCCTGACAGATGGCACTGTGGAACCGACTTCTGGAGAGCCCCGGCCCAGCCTTCTGTCATTAAGTAACAAGTGTTAGAGAGGGATGTAAGACAGTCTCCCCGCCCCGCATGCGCACACTGGGGGACCCTGGTCAGGACCGGACGTCCGCCATGGCTCAGTGTGTGTGGCCCTCAGGTGGGCCAGGGTGCTGTGGCGGATCCACTGGTGTATATGTTGCAAAGGGTACTTCCGGGTGGGGTCAGCATTTAAGTCTGCGGACGCTGAGTCCACAGCCCACCTTCCATCTGGGGGGCCGGGGAGGGGCTCCTGCAGTCAGCAGAGGACTTGGGAGGACAGTCGGGGCAGGGGATGGAGCCGTCTCCAGGTTTTAACATCAGCTCCTGCCACAACCTTCGCCTGCTGTGGCCCAGCGGGGCTTAGCAGACCTCAGTCTCTCTCCCTACTCCTCTCTCCACCTTCCTGCTGAACCTTCCCGGGTGACGCTTTTACAGGAAATGTGAACCCAAGCACAGGAAGTGAGACCTTGGGACCCTGCTCCCCAATGGCTCCACCCACCTTGACTGCAGGTGCTCGGTAAGAGGCCGGCCTACCCCGTCCACCTCTGGCCGCCCTCTGGGAGAGCCGGCCCGGAGACGAGGTTCTCCGAGCTCTTTTCCTGAGGTAGACGCAGCTTCACGATCCCCTCCCACAGGTTCTCGCCAGTGCCATCGGCCAGGAGCCGGCAGAGAAAGGCCACTCCATGCCATCCATGTCCTCTTCCTGCAGCGTGAGGACAGCAGGCCGGGAGTGCGTCCTGGCCTGACGTTTGGACAGCAGTGCAGGGGCCGTGCAAATCTGCAGCAGAGCATCCTGTGGCGGCTGATCACAGGCAGCAGCGAGACTGCTGGGGCCCCGGGGGATCTGCGGGCCCCGTGCCCTCTCGCCCCTGCATCTTTGTCTGAGGACCCGGCGTCCACAGAGCTGCAGCCGAGGAGCTTGTTTGACAGATTGGACCCGGGCCAGGCTGAGCGACTGGCAGGCGAGGCTCCAGCTTCAGCTCTGTCCCCCAAGCCTGCGGCTTCACCCACAGTGACCGGGTCCCCTCCCAAGGCCCAGGTGCAGCCGCAGGTCAGGCATGCTCGGAGCACTCAGTGAGGTGTGCAAAGGCATTAACTGCGCTCGGGCCCCGCGTCTGTCAGTCCATTCCGGGAACTGGTCCCAGCATGAGAATTCAAAACGCAGCATAATCTGCAAGTCCAAGGATTTACACCCAAACCTTATTTATGGAATCCAAGATGTGACAAACAAATGCTCAAAAATAAGAGCATGGGCAAAGAAACTCTAATACTTGCCAGTGAGAAAATAATAAACCTATGTGGCCACTAAAATGTTTATTCAGAACTGCAGTATCACAGAAAAGGATCTTCAGGCTGGAAGGGTAGGAAGTGAAATTCGAAATTACATACAGCATGGTCAGGATTATGGTATTAAAAACTATGCACAAAATAAATACCAGGGAAGGACAAAACAGTGTTGACCAAGGGTCCTGCCCAGCAGGATTAGGGTGACATTCCTGCCAAACTTTTCTGTAGCTTCTGAACTTCAAATTCTAGTACCTGCCATTTATAAGTTCAGAAAAGCAAGCTTGCCGGGGTGGCTTTTAACTCCTGGTACCTTCCTTCTAGGACCAGGCTGGAATATGCTGATCTCCCCTCTGCTCCTCATTAAGTAGCCTCAAAACAAGCAAAATCAAGTCAAGTGTGGTGGCACACAGGTGCAATGGCAGGAGGATTGCAAGCTCAAGCCCAGCCTGGGCAACTCAGCAACTTAGTGGGACCCAGCTTCAAAGTGAAAAATAAGACAAAGGCTGTAGCTGTAGCTCGGGGCAAGGCCTTGGATTCAATCCCCAGTGCTGAAAACTAAAAGGACCCAGAGGGAGAGGAGAGGAGGCGGGGCGCCCTCCTCACGGGCACCGGACCTGGAGCACCCTGGGGGCCTCTGCTCCTGGGCTCCCTGTGTCCCCCCTCCCCAGGGTGCCCTGCCGCCGCCCGAGGGCCGAGGACCGCAGGACTGTGTCCACAGTCCACGCCGCCGCCCTCCCCGGCCCCCAGGTCAGGGTCACCTGAGCCCCTTTCCTGTCGCTGAGCCTCAGAGCAGGCAGCAGGCTCCACAGGGCCCAGCCTGGGCGGGGTGGCCTAGGTGGCCTGGGACCCACACTGCCAGGGCAAAAGTCTGTGTCCGTGGTCGCATGTGGCCATCACATCGCCCAGCCTCTGCTGAGCAGCGGCGAGCAGGGCGGGATGAGGTCTTCACAGACACAGAGCTCCGGCCTCCGCTTCGCCTCCTGTGAACACGGCTGCTGAGGGCACCCACGGCTCAGCATGAACGGGACGGGCACGCGGCTCCTCAACTCCATCACCATCGGATCCTCATCTCCACCACTGTCTCCAGTCCCAGGCTGCAGCCCACTGCCTCAGGAGCGGTGGCGGCAGTGGAGGGCGCCGGCCACGCCCAGCTCGGCCACGCCCAGCTCGGAGCCCTTCCGTCTTTCCTTCCTGCCGGCCACGCTGCTTTCCCCTGAGCCTCCCAAGCCCCAGCCGCCAGAGTGCTGGCCTTGAGCTTCCGTGAGCCCGGGAAGCTGGGCTAGGGGTGCGGGAGCCCCTGAGCCCGGAACAGATAGCTGTGCTCCCCGGAGCCCGCTGGACGCCCCTGCATCTGTGCGCAACAGCGACAATTTATTCACTTAATATTTTTCTTTAAATTGGCTCATTTGTCCCACAAATAAATTTATTTAAAAAGGCAACTTCCTGTCAGGGCCACACACGGAAACCCAATCTCTTTCGAATCCTCATGAAGTATGCATGGCCGTCAGAGTGACAGGCTGCCTGCGGGTCTCAAGGAGCCTCTCCCCGCACCCAGGAGGCGCTGCTCTGTGGGCCCGGGCGCCAGGGGCCAGGCGTGACTCGGCGACCCAGGCCTCCTTCGCAGCGCCTCTGCCTTCCCGAGGGGCAGCGCCCTGCCTGCCCTGTGATGCGGCTCAGCTCAGGCCACACACAGCCGGAGGAGGTGCTGCCTGCTCTTCACAGGGCAACACGGGGATCACAGTGATCAATACAGATGGAGTCCCTTGCCCTGAACCAGAGGAGGCCCGAAGTGCTCTTTGACAGGTCTCCTGCCCCGCCTGGGGGGAGGGAAGGGGGGAGGGGGAGGGCGGAATCCAGGCAGAAGGGAGCTCTCCAGGGCGCGTGAGGGAGGATCCGAGCAGCGCTCCGCTGGGGACTGGCCAGCGCTGCCTCCACTCCTCCATCAGACAGGAGTTCTCTGCGCTCCAGCACGCCCAGGGTTGGGACATCGTGATGTTTGAGGTAAAGAGTCGGCCCGGGATTTAGCTCAGTGGTTCCGGTGCCTGCCTTGCAAGTGCAAGGTCCTGAGTTCGATCGCCGGTACCAAAAAACCAAAAAACAAAATAACAACAAAAAAAGTAAAAAGTCTCAGTTCTCCTTGGGATTCACAGTCTTGAAGGGATAGACATGTGCATGAAGGTCGGCTGGCAGGAAGCGCTGTGCAGAAAGTGCAGCAGGCAGAAGGAGTGGGTGACCGAGGAGGGTTGTCCTGTGTGCACAGCAGGCCCCTCTGAGGAGGCCACATTTTAGCCGAGACTTGGTGGAAGACAGAGAGGAACTTGTGACTGTCGGGCACAGGGGCAGCAGGTGCAAAGGCCCTGTGGTGGGAGTTTGAGTGGGATATTCACCACCACCCAAGCCCATGGCCACCCGAGAGGCTCATGGGTTACCCTGAGCTGAGGCAGCAGGACTCTGCAGACAGTCCACTGGGTTTCCAGGAAGGAGAGGCCTCCATCTCCAAGGGAGAAGGGCCATTTCTGCCAGTCGTGGTGGCACACACCTGCAATCCCAGCACTTTGGAAGGCTGAGACAGGAGGGTCCCAGTGAGCTCAAGGCCAGCCTGAGCTACATAGTGAGACACTGTCTCAAAAAAAAAAAAAGGGCCATTTCTGCATGCTTTTATCCAGAGAACCTTTTATATGACTGTAGATGAATGGCCCACTGTGGCTCCTGAATGACTGGGGATGACAAACTCCCAGTCCAGTGTGGAAAGATTGCAGGAAGAGGCATTTTACAACAAAGCCCTGGCCCTTGGCTCTGTCCTTTCTATAACAAAAAGCCAGCACTCTCATGATGTCAGATGGGTTTAGTTGGGAACTGGGGCAGTGGGGAGCTGGACAGAAGCCAGGGCAGCTCTTGGGGACCCCGGTGTGGAGCTGGGTGGAACCAAATGCCGAGCCGCATCCTTGGAGAGCAAGGGGGCCCTCCGCTTTCACAGCCGGGGTGGGGACCGGGTGGACCTGCATTTTGGGCCTGACCCAGGCCTCTGCCACCTGCTGGCCAATGGCCGGGGCAAGCCTGGGTCTCTCCCAGGCCTCAGTTTCCCTGATGCGGTGTCAGAACAACACATTCCAAGTAGAAAGGGTCCAGAAATGGGGACGGGTGTGGACAGGAGGCCTGGTGCCCCAGGAAGCAGAGAGAGACCCAGGGAGGTGGGGACCCACTGTCCCTCAGGGTGCATCCCCAGTGACAAGCTCCCCCTCCACCTCCTAAGTTTCACCCCCTCCGACAGCGCCAGCCTGGGGACCCACCCGGCTTCCAAGGGGGCCTGGGGTGTCCTGGATGCAATCACAGGGCCAGGGAGGCGGACAGGGCAATGCCCACGTCCTTGGCAGTTCTGGGCTGGGTCCCCGGCTCAGGACCTGCCGACTGTTGTGAACAGCGTGTCCTCCCACTCCGCCGATCTCACGGCAGTGAGGCTCTCGGTTGTGTGGAGACATCGCCGGTGGGATGTGGCCCTGGAAGAGGGAAGCAAGCCTCTGCCCCAGCCACTTGCTCACAGGTGTGGCTGACCCGGGCAGGGTGTCCACCTGCCGTGGCCTCCCCCAGCAAGGGGCAGGGACAGTGACTCCGAGAGGGCAGCCACCCTAGGGATCCGTTCCAGCACTGCTGCTGCTGCTCGGTCTGTGTCCTTGCCATGAAGAATGGGCCTTCTGGCCCTTCTGTGCTCCTGGCTGGCCAGCCTCTTCCCGGAGGTTGGGGCAGTGGGCCTGGCCTCGTGCATCTCCCTGTGTGGGAGAATCAGGCTTCCCGGGCCCCTCTGCGAGGGGGAGCAGCTTCCCCAGGTGGCCCTGGGGCCGTGCTGAGGGGCAGACAAGGCCCAGGCCACTGGCGAGGTGCACTGTGTGTGGGCACTTCCCCCATGTGGGTCCTCTTGAGACCCAACCCGGAGCGGCATCCTCAGCAGGCCGCCCGGACATGCTGGGCAAGCGTGCAGTTGGTTGGGGAATCCTCTCTCTGCAGAGAGCACAGGGACTACGGGGTCCCCAGGACAGAGTGGGGGGCCAGCTGCTGGGGGGGGGCTCGTCCTGTGCAGCGGCGGCTCAGCCCTGTCCAACTCTGCAGCCAGGGAGGGAGCCGAGTCTGGGGAGGGGCCTTTCTTGTTGCAGGCTTGTCCCTCCAGGGTGGCACCTGGCTGCTGCAGGCACCTCAGAGCCCCACCCCAGGGCAGCACAGCTGCGCTGGGTCTGTGTCAACACAGAGCTGCCGGCCACCTTTCTGATCCAAAATATTTGGATACTTGATTTTTCTTGTGTGGCTCTGGGGTTTTTGACCCAGGTCATTCACAGTGAGCTACATCTCCAGCCTTGTTTTATTTTTTATTTTGAGACAGTCTTGCTAAGTTGCCCAGGCTGGGCTTGAACTTGAGATCCTCCTGCAATCAGCCTCTCAGCATGCTAGGATTACAGATGTGCACCACTATGCCTGGCTTTGGAGAAATGAATTTTAATAGTACAATGGTTTCCTGTGTCATTGTAGGTATGTTTTGCATTTAACAATATTACTCTGCCACAGGCTTCAGAAGACAGCCAGAGGAGAGGGGCCACGGCACCCGAAGGCTTTCCGGCAATCGCAGGTCAGCAGCGGGGAGGCCCTGTGATTTCGGCACCTCCGACTCCAGGGCTTTGGAGGGCCCTGGGCTCGCCTCGGCAGAGGTGCAGGCCTGGAGCTCAGGCAGGACTGGCCCTGGGTGGACAGGGATCCCGGAAGAAGCCCCGGGGGGCGCGGGTCCTGGACCTGCCCATGCACAGGATTTTCTGGACTCAGTACCAACCCCTCCTCCAGCGTCACCCAGCGTGTCTGGGATGTGTGCATTCCATCGGGAACTGGTGGGCAGCCAGGCTGTAAGTCACGCAGAGCCATTTCCCTCCGGTTGGTCAGACCAGCACAGGCCTGAGTTAGGGCTGCCTACGCTTGGCAAAGCGTTCCTCAGGCTTGGGGTATCCAACCCGGACTTCCTCCACTGTCTTGTCCTTTCCTGCCAGGCAGGGTTTGGATCAAGCGTCCCCTGAAAGCGTCCTGTGTGTTCACAGGTGGGGTTTTGGAAGATGACTGATCACCGGAGCAAAGCTGACTTGCTGTCAGGGGCAGGGTCTGTGGGAAGGGGCAGTCACTGGGGCGTGGCCTGGAAGGTCCATCTCCCTCCTGGCTCCTCCCCTCTCTTTGCTTCCTGTCCACCATGCGGTGAGCAGCTCTCCTCCACCAGGCCACTCTGCCTTGGAGCCAGCCAATCATGGACCGAAACCTCTACAGACTGAGCTAACGTAAACCTCTCCTCCTTTACTTGCGGATGTTGGGTCTTGGGTCCCAGCACAGAGAATGACTGAAGCACCACTCACTGGCCTTTCCTCCCGTTCTTTGCCTCCTGAGGGCCGACTGTGGGCCACACACAGTCTTGGTGCTGGGTCTCCGTCGGGGAACAAAGCGAATGATTCCCATAGGGAGAGATGGCAGTTAAGAAAATAACTCAAATATGGAGCAGGACTGGAAGGGCACTTGCTAGGGGGCCTGGGCTTCCAGCCGCTGATGCCCATGTTCTCAGTGGCTGCGCTTCCGGCTGGTGACACACGGCCTGGCAGATACACTAGAAACAACTGGTTTGTGTACACAGGTGAGCTGTGTGACTCGATCTCAATGAAGCATTACTTAAAAGTGAAAATAAGTAGATGACACACAGGTAACTGCAGAAACAGAGCAGTGAGGGGAGGGGAGAGATGGCTGCGTGCCTGTGTCCTCCCAGGGCTGAGGTTGAAGCGGTGACCCCACGTGCCGGCCTTAGAAGGGGGTCAGGGCTGGGTGAGACCCTGAGGACGGAGCCGGAGATGGGGTCCGTGCATCACAGGAAGAGAAAGACCCCATCCACCTACCAGGAGAGCACAGGGAGCAAGGTCACCACCTCATGCCAGGGACTGCACCTCTGCACCTTGAGCCGGGCTCACCAGCCTCTGGCAGGGTGGGAAGCTACTGTCTGTCCTTCAAGCCACCCATCCACCATGTCGTCTGGTGACAGCAGCCTGAGCTGACCGAGTTGGGTGCCCAGGATGCCAGGACTGTAAACAGAGTGGCTGGGGAAAGCCCACAGAGGAGGCCACACTGCCTGTGTGGACGTCTGGAGGGAGGGTGACTCCAGACAGTGAATGCAAAGGCCCTGAGGTGGGCCAGGAGTGACAGATGGCAGAGGGAGCATGGAGAACAACTTGGGAACAGTCTGAGGACTCTGGTGTCCTCTGCCAGGGGAGCCCACAGAGGAGGCTGAGAGCAGAGAGGTGACCTGACTCATGCTTTCCACGGATGCCAGGGAGGCGACTGACAGCATGGAGCCACTGCCCACCGAGCTCTCCCGCTGCTGTGTGCTGGCTCCATGCAGACTCCCCCTCCCCGTGCTGATGCCATGCTGGCTATGACTGACCTGCCAGGGAAACTGAGCCTGGGAACAGGCCCGACCTGGCCCACACGAGCCGGAGATGCTCCTGCCATCCCAGCCCCATCTGCCAGCACCTACTTACTGAGCTCAGCAATGCTGCCCACGCGCGTGGCCAGCAGGGACTGCTCGATGGTCCGCAGCTCCGACTGGCTGAACATGGGCAGCTCCCCCGGCTTGGCCGCCCGCTGCGGCTCGCGGTGTAGGTTCAGGCTGTCGGGCAGGCTCAGGACCCCTGGGGGAGAGAGAGGGACAGGGTTACCCTCAGTCAGAGCCTCGGGCCACACCCGGGCTGCACTGCCAACTGCCGAAGGCCAGGGATGCTGAGCTCAGCACCCAAGGGCCCCGCGAAGAGCTTGGAACAAGTGCCCTTGGCCTACTGGGATTCTGCTACCTGGAGGTGGCTCTTGGGACCAAGGGGTCACCCCCACCTCCCAAGGCAGCTTCCCAAGCACCCAGGGGACAGTCCCTGCTGACAGTGACTTCTTGCTTTCTTTTCAACATAGGTCTAGGTATGTAGCCCAGGTTGGCCTAGAACTCACAGAGATATTCCTGCCTCAGCCTCCCGAGTACTAGGATCACAGGTGAGTGCACCGTGCCAAGCATACTGATTGTTGGCCCAGCAGATGCCCCTGGTGGTCAGGCTGCTGTCTGGGCTCCTGGCTTTCTCCCAGAGGTGTGGAGTCAGGAGATGGAACATCCCCAGGTGCTTCCATCACCTGTATGGCGAGCACCCTGGAAGCCACTGGAATCCGATCATCGCCCCCCTTCCTTCCCATTCCCAAAGCACCCAGCAGAACCTGAAACCACTCATGGAGCTTACTCGGGCTCACCCAGGGCAGCAGGCCCTGCCTGCCTCGGGACTCCCGGGCCTGATGTAGGACTGCCTTTGCTCACAGGTAGTTCGGGGCAGGATGCACTCAGAGGCCCAACAAGCACCGGCAAGACTGAACCCTCTCCTGTGCACTGCCTCTGCCAGGAGCAGACCATGCCTTGCTGGCCTGCTCTGGGGAGGGCGAGAGCCTCATACTGCAGCCCCAGGAGCCACCTGCCCTCCAGAGCTGGATGCCCCATCAAATAAGCACTTATCTGGCATGCGCTGAAGGAGGGGGATGGTTGTTACTCACCATCACCGTGGGGAAACTGACAGATACACCCAGCGGCAGATACTGAGGCGACAGTGAACAAGGCAGGTGCTGCTGCGTTAGGGGCTGAGGTGGGGGTGAGGGACAGAGTCCATGTCATCCCCGTCCTAAGCAAGCGCCTGTCTACACAGAGGACCACAAATGACATGACCAGTGTTGTGTAGAAGAGAAGGAATGGAGGACATCTTGGCCGGGTCCTGAGCACACACAGGAAGCACTCACTGAGTGGCTGCTGTGTCCCAGCCCCGAGGGATGCCCTGGAGGTGGGAAGCAGTGGGAGGCCTGTCCAGGCCGTGCAGAGCTCGCTGTGTGTGAGCTGGGGCCACGCAGTGATTGAGGCAATGACCCAGGTGCCACAGGGGACCAGAACCCGGGGCCGGGTGCGGCAGACAGGATGGCAAGGATGGGGCTCACATCCTCTGCCACCCACACGTGGTGCACAGGCCACTTGGCGCCTCCCGCAGACACCGACAAGGGTGAGGGCCCTGGGTGCGGGGGTCGTGGATGAAGCATAATCACGGATACACAACGCATATGCACAGTCACTTGAGGTTGGTAGTCAGGAAACTGATGCCGCTTCTAGGATTCATCTCCAGCCATTTACTTTTGACTGTGATTCAGAGGAATACAGTGGTGCCTCGGCTCACGAACTTAACTTGTTCCACGATTCTGGAAAAGGTGGCCACGGTCATGTTCATGTGAAAAAGACGGCCACAGTTGCTGTTTGTTACCCGACGTGGAGTTCGCAAACAGAAGCGAAACTGTGCCAGATGCTTCTGCTGGTGACCGCAGGCCCACTGCCTATTTAGGCCCCAGTCCAGGACCCCCTCACCACACTGCTCATATTTTCCATGCAGAAATGTCACGGAAAGCCTCCCTGGCCCTCGTGGCGTGATGCCGTCTGTTTCCTCACCACTTTCTCCTCTGTCTTATCCCTAGCGATGCTGGCTGCGGAGCCCTGGGGATCAAAAGAGCCGCTGTGAATCCCAGGCCGACTGTGCCAGCACATGGCCCGGCACCGCCTGCCCCGAAGGCCCACCAGGTTCTGAGCCGGCCAGAGCAGCCCCTCAGGAAGGCCCAGCCTAGGGGACCCGGGCTGCCTCAGAAACGCCCCGTGGAAGGCCGCCTCCCCTGCTCCCCAGCAGCCCCGGTACTGCCGTCTGCCCGAGCAGGTGCTCTGGTTACCCCATCCCCTGCTGGGAGCTCCCCAGCCCTGTGACAGTGGAGGCCGAGCCGACAGCCACTGCCACGGTGAAGACCCGTGTGCGGCTGTATGTGGGACCCCCGCCCCTCAAAGAGCTCATCACACACACGCACCAGACAATCAAGACTCAGAGAGCCAAGTGACCCAGGTTTTAGGGTCATCAGTCCCTCTGCCTCGGAGAACCGGGGTCCCAGGGGTCCTCCAAGGAGACCCGAGAGCCAGCCCTGAGTGCTGGGGAGGAGAGGCTGTCTGATGTAACAGCGTGGAGTACTCAGGCGCTCCCCATGCGCCTCCTCGCGGTGTGCAGTGTTTGCTGCAGGGGACCAGGTCTGCGGCCTGAAATGCGGCTGCACACACTGGGCAAGACGCAGACAAAGGACGCCAGGCATCGGGAGCCTCCGCCTTGGTCCACGGCTCCCTGTGTTTGACCTCGAGCCGGTGGGAGCCACTCTGGACCCAGTCTTCCTTCTGTGGGACTAGCATGAACAGTGGCTTTGTCCTTCTCCCGGCAGCTGGGGGCCAGGAGGGGCCGGGAGACCACAGGGTGGGCATCAAAGGCTTTGCTTGTGTGCGAAGGGCCTGGGTAGTGGTGAATCTGCCTGTGTGTGCCAACCCAGCTTTGCACCGCTTTATGCATTAGCACGTGCATAAGTTCCCTTGGCATTACTCTTCCTGAGAGAGTTATGAAGCTTAAATGTGGAATACAATCTTTCCAAATGTGTTGAGAGCTAGATTACAGGGATGTGGGAAATCTGTAATTGATCTATTATGCAAAGATTTTATGCCAGGGTTTTCTTTTCTCCCCTTGAAGGCTCTGTACAGGGTTTACTCATAAAGCGGAGTCACTCCTTTGTGTGTGAGAATCGGTAGGTGAATAGCAAGGCCCGCTAACGTACGCCAGAGGTTCAGGCACTTCTCAGGGGCCATGCAGAGCGAGAACATCGTGGTCTGGGGACGGAGACCGAGTCTGACGGCAGAATGAACTGAGGTTGACTTTTGGAGCCACGTGTGTTGGCACACGCCTGTAACCCTGGCATGTGTGTGAGGCTGAGGCAGGAGGGTCACCGTGAGTTTGAGGCCAGCCTGGGCTGCACAACAAGACCCTGACTTGAAAAACCAAAAACCAAATACAACTTGGGGCTGAAGGGAAGTATGTTCCACGGGGAGCTGGAGGTGATCAGCCAGGCCCCTGGTGGGGGGTGGAGGTGCCTCGGTCTCCCTGAAGCCCCGTGATGGGGGTGTGCAGCGTGCCTGAGCCTCACAGGGTCCAGGATGGGTCCTCACAATGACTAGCAGTGCCCACCGTAGAGCCCCCTCTGCTCCGGGACCTGCCGAGCTCTGTCTGACGCTGCCCCTGCCCAGTGCCTCCTGGCCAGTGCTCCATCCCCACAGCTTCGGTTCATCTGGGATTTGGGTTCCGACAGCTATGGGCCTCCTTTCCCAAGCCCGTATGCCTGGAGATGGACGACCTGGTCAGGCCACGGGCACAGAAGACTCAGAGCCTGTGCATCCCTCCAGGGCCCAGTGGGCTCCCTCCCCAGAAAAGTGTCCTTCCGGTGCTCTCCTACCACCGAGCTCCATTCACCCACGGGGAAACTGAGCAAGAGAGAATCGGCACTGTCCACTCAGCCCTGCACGCTGGTGCTGATGGTGAAGACAGGGAGGAGGAGGAGGAGGAGGATATGGCTGGGGCAAGAGGGGAACAAACACTGCCACGCCCTGCCCGCACGCCTGGCCTGGTCCTCTGCTGAGCCACCCAGAAGGTAAATCGAGGTCCTGACCCAGCCGCAGTTTCCCCCAGTGTCTCCCCTGGGGCCCAGTGGTGTGGTTGCTTTGCCACCTCCCGGGGCCAGGGGCAGCCTGGCATTGCTATCACTAATGATCCAAGTCAGTGAAGCTCTCCGAGGCTGCAGGGTCAGGGATTCCATGGCCCAGACAGCGCCGGCCTCTGGGACTGTTGAATCCATGAGGAAACAGAAAGGAAACGATCAGATTTCTCCTGGTGCTTGTCAACCGGCTCAGAAAACCCTTCTAAGACTTGGCACGGAAACAAGCCTGGGGATTGTTTCCTCAGGCGGGGATCCCAGTGAGGCCAAGCCAGCCAGGGGCCTTGCTGCCCCTATGTGAATGACCAGAATGCAGATGTCGCCGGGAAGCCTGAGGAGGAGGAGAGGAGGAAGCACAACAGCAGGCGTGAGCAGAGGTGGCCCTGCAAGCACAGGACACGCACCTGCAGTTCATCAGACGATGTGAGATCTCTGCAGAACACGGGACCCCGTGGGTCATGCATGCAGCCGACCACGCGGACTGCGGACTTCACACACTTGGCCTTGAAGCCTGACGTCACCACCAGCTCAAAGACCGTGGACAAATGTGCAGCAGGGCACCTGGGGTCACCTAGCAGCCGCAGGGACCTGGCCCAGGGCTCAACTCTAGTTGGGAGGCAGGGTGGGAGGAGGCAGGGTCCAAACCTGCAGGCCTGGGCTGAGTCACAGCCCTGGGCCGGGCCCAGGAGAATCCGCTTAGGCTGCCACTGAGCCTCCTGTGCCTGGGCTTCAGAGTCCCCAAACATTACGGGGACAGTCATGGCATAAACCTAGGGGGATGCTGGAAGATTAAGTGAGCAAATACACGTGATCTGGGCCGCTGTACTTATGGAGCACTTGACTGCCCGAGTGACAGAGCTACTGAGCTGAGTAGCAGTGAGCTATCATCACCACCATCGCCACATGGAGACCCTCCAGGGTACAGCGAGCCCAGAGCACAGGAGCAGAGGGCGCAGGAGGAGGAGCCGAGGTGGAAGGCAGGTGGGTCGAGGGGGGCCTGGGCATGGCCAGAAAGGGCTGGGGCTGACGCTGCACCCACACCCCCTTCCGCAGCCCAGAC